CCAGCTTCGTCTCTCTTTCCAACCATTTTTTGACCTGCTCGGGGTCCAGAAAACCTTAACAAATTATTAGCAGGAAGCTGAATTGTTCTCCACGTGTCAGAATGATCCCCCGTTTTAGCACCAAAATTGTGTGCGCTGGGACCTCGCGTGCCAAATTTTTCAGGACCGCCTCAATTTCCAATAATCTGCTTCTCTGACCCGGGCTTCCAAGCATGGGTTTGGAAAATCAGAGTGCAACATGCGGCCGGAAGCCAGTCTAATGAGCTTATTTTAAGTAATTATTGTGCACATCCTTTCCCTTTGCTCTCTCAGAAAGCCATCAGCACAAGAAAAACGCCTATTTTGATCAGAAATTGCATCTTTATTCTCTGTGAACGAAAAGAACCCCTAACTTACTTCATGGCACACTGGAGACGACAGGGACAGGCCCACTTGGGATTTGCTAATACCTGTGCCCCGCACCCACCAGCCCCTAACACAAGCCTTGACCTCCAGCGCTCCGTATGCTTGTGTGAGCACACACATGTGCGCGCATACACGGACAGCTAGCCCTTAACCTCCTCAGTCTCATTCGGAGAGAAGCCACCGCAGTATTGGCATAGAAGACATTACGGAACGACTCTTTCCTCTCTACTTTCCACAGTCCCTAGGTTTGTGCTTTCCCAAGGTAGCTACCCCAGCTAGGTACCTTCCTCCCTCTGTCAACTTACAAGAAACACCAAGGCAACTGACAATCGGTTATCTGTATTTTGGCAGCTTCACACACACACACACACACACACACACACACACACACACACACACACGCACGGGATACGTGATTGCTTTCTATGAAATATTTCCATACAGAAGGATGTTGGTCTGCTGCAAAAGCTTCAGTATGGGCAACAGTCTTTAAATGGGGAACCGAAGGAGTTTTCATTTCATCCAAGGATGACTTTGAGGGACATTTGTTAAAGTGGCAGCATAAACCATGGTATTAACATAGCTAAAGAGTTCAATAATAGGTCAGCTGGAAACTGAAGACAGCCTGTGGAAAAGGGGCAGGGGAAGATGTAATGATACGGAGTGACACGATCACAAATTGCCTGCCAGGCCCTGCACTGGGCACAGCACATGCCTTCTCTCGGGCAATCCCTGCTACAATCCCAGGAGACGGGCCGTACATGTGCTGAGATGCTCTTTCTGGATGAAGAAACAGGCCCAGTGAGGTTGATCACACTGGATTCCAGACTCTCTTTGGGAAACACCCTCTTCTTTCACTCTACAGCCACCAAATCACCATCGGGTTAATGTTTAGCCTCTCCGGGGTCATGACAATAGGGAGTTTTGTAAATCCCTTGAGAGTGGTTTCTCCCTGTAAATGATGAATTGACAGTTTCCTGCCTACCTCAGCCTCTTGAATATCCAGTTACTGAGTCAGAGCCTTTGAACCAAAGCACTCCACAGCTCTGTAAATAGGGACCGATCCTGGAACACTCCAGCCGCTCCAGTGCCTTCTGTGTATAAAATCTCCACCATCTGGGGCACCTGGGTGGCTCAGTCAGTTATGCATCTGCCTTCAGCTCAGGACTTGACCCCAGAGTCCCAGGATCAAGCCCCATGTCAGGCTCCTGCTCCACGGAGAGTCTGCTTCTCCCTCTCCTCGCCCCGGCTCCTGCTAGCACACACGCTTGCTCTCACTTGCTCACTCTCTCTCTCAAGTACATAGATAAAATCTTTTAAAAAATAAATAGGGGCGCCTAGGTGGCTCAGTGGGTTAAACCACTGCCCTTGGCTCAAGTCATGATCTCAGGCTCCTGGGATCGAGCCCTGAATTGGTCTCTCGGCTCAGCAGGGAGCCTACTTCCCCCTCTCTCTCTGCCTGCCTCTCTGACTACTTGTGATCTCTCTGTCAAATAAATAAATACAATCTTTAAATCTATAAATAAATAAATTAATAAAATAAAATAAAATCTCCACCATTTCCAGCTGGGGATCCTGTGGGTCTGTCTCCTCTCCAACAGTATTTGAATGGAACAGACCAGGAGTGCCCTTTCCAGCCTCCCATGACCCTCCAACCTCTTTTCCAGTCACAACGTTCAGAGCCATCTTCTCAGCACCCTCAGCCTCTGGAACCAGCCAACACCATCTTTTGAGCTTAGCTTCATTACTGGCCACCAACCATGAGCTCCCAAATTGGTCAGAATTATTCCCCCAAGGTGGAGGCCACCGTCGACGGCCTGGTCAGCACGCACCTGCAGGCCTCCCACACATACCTCTCTTGGGGCTTCTATTTCTACCATGCCGGTGTGGCTCTGGAAGGAGTGAGCCACCTCATCCCCAAATCGGCTGAGGAGAAGCATGAGGATGCCCAGCACCTCTTGTAGAGGTAAAAATGCGGCAGCCAGGCCCTCCTCCAGGACGCACAGAAGCCATCCATCCCATGGAAGCTTCTGGGGTTCTGGAGAAGAACCTGAAGCAGGCCCTTCTGGATCTGCCTGCTCAGGTTCTGCCCACACAGACCCGCAGCTCTGTGATTGCTAGAGAACCACTTCCTACATGAGCAGGTGGAACTCAGCAAGGAGATAGCAACCACCTGGCTAACTCCACAGGCTGGCGGCCCCCAAGCTGGGCTGGGTGGGTGTCTCTTCAAAAGGTTCACCCTTTGAGAGGCCCCTCTGGCCTCCCCCTGGTCCCAGGACTCCTGCCTGAGCCTCTCCCTGCAGCCGTGAGGCAACTTTTTAGCTACCCTGGAGGCTTCTCCTAAGTAGTGGACCAAACAGAAACAATAAAGCTTTTTGCAAGAAAAAAAAAATAATCTTCATTTCCATCCACCAATTTATTCTTTTGTTTTCCACAGACACTGTACCCCGGTTTTCCTCTTTAGCTAAGGGAAGGTGGCAAATGCAAACTCCTATTAATGCTTTGAGAACTTTACCCTCCATCATTTTCATTATATGCTCTTTTCCTCTTCTGCCCTTATCAGGATGTTTTCTTTAGAACCAAAAGACTCCCCATGATCAGTGACCCTTGAGAGCGCTTGACTCAGATATACCAATTCAATTAGTGTCCCACAATATCAGCTTGCCTTGTCCTGCTTCCTGGCTCGCTCTCTCTCTCAAGAAGAAATAAGTAACCTTTGAGATAGTTCCTTGATTACCATGCTAACAAAATTCTTTAAAGACACATATACCTTGGGGCGCCTGGGTGGCTCAATGGGTTAAGCCTCTGCCTTCAGCTCAGGTCATGATCTCAGGGTCCTGGGATTGAGCCCCACATCGGGCTCTCTGCTCAGCGGGGAGCCTGCTTCCCCCCTCTCTCCCTGCCTGCCTCTCTGCCTACTTGTGATCTCTCTCTCTGTGTCAAATAAATACATAAAATCGTAAAAAAAAAAAAAAAAGACACACATACCTACATACATATATTTTTCACATAGGTATCATAAATGACCATCTATGCATAAAATACATATTTATCCATCTGTTCTACCTAAAGAAAAAAGCTCTGCCAAGCACTGAGCTTTTATCATGTCATGGGCAGGTGATGCCCCAAATGCCAGTCCTGCCTACACCCCTTCCAAGGACCCCTGTTATGACCTGATTCCCCGGGGACAATCTGTGAACCAAGGGGAGCCAAGCTGAAGGCTCACAATCAATGATCAGACCCTGATGTGAAACAGTGAGCCCAGCCCATAAGAGTCCTTTCTTGGTAATCTGACTGGGAAACAACGGGAGAAGGGTCTCAAGGGTGATGGTGCTGAGGGAGGGAAGGGCGCTTGGGCCGGGATGAGCTTCAGGCACACAGACATTGTGAGGGGGTAGAAAGCCACAGGAGGCTAAAGGCAGTCAAGAAGCTGCCTGGAACAGAGGAAAACAAAAATGGAGTAGACAACATGTGGGAAAAGCACATGGCAAGTGGTCCTGGTGTTTAGGATCATAAATACAGGGGAGAAAGAACGAAGGATGCCTGAGGCTTGGGAGGAGGAAAGGAAGAGGACCCAAAGTGTGAAAGAAAGAGACTTAGAAATGAGCAAACAGCTGATACAATCAGAGGTGTGATGTGGGATCCTTTGACTTGGCATTAAGCCTTTGTGTGTCATACTCCCTTAAAAAAAAAAAAAAAGAGGAAGAGAAACAAGCAAAGGCAGACATGCTCTCTAAAACACACAAGATGTCTGAAACTCTCACCAAGGACAAACCTGCCCCACAGGACAGTCAAGCTTCTCACCTGTTCACAACTAAAATAAGAAAGAACATTTCCTATGGGGTATGGATTTACATTTTGTTCTGAAGACAAAGTTCATGTTGCTGATCACATACCAGACAAAGGAAAGGCTGCACCGTGATGGTCTACATGTTTTCTTAATGTGAACAGAATAAACAGAGGCCTACAACCCATTCCTGCATCAACACATGACTTTATGGCCGGTCTCAAACATCCTGTCGCACGCCATGCACCAGGCACCGTCCTAACCCCAGTCCGGAGGTTCTCCGACTTCATCCCACCAGGGATCTGGGATTAGGCATGAAACTCTCCCACAAGCCCTCCAGCTTACAGGGAACTTCCCTTTCCATGTAAAACAAACACATTTCTTTTCTATTAAGGATGCTTCCATGAACCCTCGTACCATTTCTGCGTACCTTCCTACTTTCCCCGGGCAAGCTGGACATTGAAGGGGTTACTGACAAGTCAAATCCCAAGTACAATTCAAATGCATTTTCTGGACCCTGCAGAGTATATACAAAAATGGCCCCATGCCTTGGTAGAGCAGCAAGCACAATGGTGAAAATGGAGCGCCTGGCATGTGGCCTGCTGGTCTCATTATGTTACAGTTAGACCAGCAGGTGAAAAATCAGTGTTGGCATTTAAACCCCACCAAGTTGGGGAGGGTTTAAAATGGTTCGTGTCTGCCTTCTGCAAAAGTTAAAGTGAAGACAAGGCTGGTCTGTTTTACACGGCACGGGCTTCCCCTAATTAGCCAGCCGCAAGTCGCAGAGAAGAGTTATACAGGTACTTACTATTTATAACCCATGGCCACATCCACAAAATACTTTCTTCTCTGTCGATAGACATTGTCCTTAAATCCCTTAAACAGAAAAGAGATTAAGTTATTTAACAAAGTGCCGAAAAATCGACCGCAGTAGTCCTGAAAGAAAATCGCCATGGTGTTTACTGAGTGTCAGAGTCAAATGTGAATTTTGTCCTTGGACGACCATCTTGATGGCACAGGCAGAAGCGAACCGGGCTTACAGTAAAACCTCGTTACATTTGGGCTGCACTCATTTAGGATGCGTGGGAATTCAGGCTACAGTGAACGGTATCTTTGGTTTTCAAGTATCATCTATGTGTAATTGATGTTAATCACAAGTTAATCTTATCCTGTTCATTAAAACAGGTCCCTTTAACATGGTTATTCAGTAAGTTAACCTAAATGTAATTGCTTTGGGTACACAGCCAATAAACGCACATTTGTTAAAATTTCTATCATTCAGAATAATCATTGAATCCCCCAAATTAGCATGGATTAAAGAGGTTTTGCTGTTTTCTATGCGTATAGCCACATAATGCAAAATCGGTTATGAGGGATTCATGCACAGGAGAGCAAGTGAGCTCCATTCCACTCTGAGGCCCCCTCAATCCTGTTTAGTTTTTAGGAACTTCAAGACTTCTGTCCATCGTCATGCACTTGGGAAGTTAAACATCCTGTCATTGTTTTGTCAAGTACAATTACTTCCCAGAGGAATTTTCCGGTTTACTCAAGAATCTCTCCTCTTGTCAACAGACCTTCCACTTTCCTTTTTTCAGGTACCTTCAATCAATTCTTTCTGGGTTGGTTTCTTCAAACTGCTGGAAACCCAGAAGGAATGGTTTCCATTTAACATCTTACATCTGCAACCCTGCAACCTCAAAGGTAACCAGGAAGCAGCAGCCACTCTGAGAATGGAGGCCAGATGAGATGGGCCTCTGGGATCATGGGCTCTTCGGGGAGAGCTGAGACAGGCCCACGAAGGCCCAGGTTACCTCTGCTCTGGCTTGCACGCTTCTGCAAGGCAGGCTGTTCAAGAGGAACCTCAAACACAGAGAAAATCACCCTGTTCTCTTGTATGGTTGACGGAGAACTGGCTTTGAGGACTGTCCGCTGGGCTGAGGTAAAGAACTTCCATAGCCAAAGGCCTTTCTCTTGCAAGAGCATCTCTGTTAGCGGGACACAGAGAGAGCAGCCCGAGATCACCCAGACATCCTGCAGAAATGAGGTATGCCCGCCAGAGAAGCTAGCACTTTCTTCTGCTATGAATTGGTAGTTTTCAAACTGGTGTTCACATGCAGGCTTACGAGGCTTTAAAATCTGTCTACACAAAATGTTGTGACCAAGCTACCGCATTCACAGATGGGTCTGTGACCTAAAAAAAAGTTCCGCTCTAGAGGAGAAAGTACAAGTTTCAAGTTCCTAGGAGTACCAAACAGTCGAGGACGGCAAAACGGAAGAGTTTCAAGCACCTGTACGACTCAGAAGGAAAGCAGGCCGTGACGAAAGGCGAAGAGTCATGTGAAAACACAGCACCTGTTCCCCAGCTCCTGCCAAACCAGACACCATCCTGCAAGAATAGTTACCAGATGGGCTTCCTGAAGATTCTTGACTGTCTCTCCTTGGCAAACACCTGTACCTTTTCCAGGCATGCGAGAGAGTGATTTACTCATCATGCCTCATTAGCCTAGTATGGCTGTGATTATGCAAATGTCGTTGGCGAGCCAGAGCTGCCAGGATTGAACTGTGGACTAGCAAAATAAAACAGGGACGCTGGCTACACCAGTGATCACAGAGACAGCACTCCTTGGCCATGGAATCTGGACTGAAGGCTGGGATAAGGTTACCAGATAACAGAGAGGACCCCCAAGCAATAGGTGGGGCATACTTATACTAAGAAATGATTCTTCGTTTACCTAAGATTCGCATTTAACTGGGCACCCTATATATATATATATTTATTTTTTTTAATTTTTTTTTTTTTTGCTAAATCTGGTAAGCCTAATCCCCACAGAGTATCTGCAGCACACTCATGCTTCCTCCAATTTAAATCCAGAGGAACTGAAGAGCCCCCCAGCACCCTAAAACACTCAGCCAAGTGTGCAGCAGCACTCAAGTAGCTATCCCAAACAGTTCGGCCCTGCTGAAATATTAGAATCCTCCAAGGAGTTTTAAAGGATACTCCAAAACTAGACACATTCCCAGAGGTTACTCTCTAAGCACTCAGAGGTGAGACCCTGGCCTCAGTATTTTTTTTTTTTTTAATTCCCCACAGATTATTTGAATGGAAAGCTAAGGTCGAGCATCACTGAGCCAGAACATTAATTCTCAAACACTAGCGCTCACCAGAATCTCCTGCAAGTCCTTTTAAATGCAGATTCCAGGGTCCATCCTGAAAGTTCTGATTCAGGGGGCTTCCGATAAGCCCAAGGACCTGAATTTTTAACAAGCACTTTATGGCTGGGCCTTGAACCACCCTTTGAGAGACCATCCCACTCTAGATCCTTGCTACTCAAGGGGTAGCAGACCTCCAGAGCCAGCCTCAACTGGGAGCTCACTAGGCATACAGAGCCCCACTCCGCACTTTGAAAAGATCTTCCTGGTGGTTTGTCTGGCAAAGTCAGACAGACGCTGACCTAGAGAGATGGTTAGCCCCTTCCAGCAAGCCTCGGCACCCTGCCTCTCCCATTCTGGCTCCTTCTGAGCCATCTAAGTACAAAGACACCAGCCTGACACAGTAATCCCTAGCTCAGAACGGGGAGTACTCCCAGGCACCAAAAGTCCTTAGCCCTCTTTCTCCATGCTCACCAAATAATAACTTTCAAAAAACACCCACTTACCAATACCAGATTTTGCATCATGAACATTTGGTGTGTAAAAGAAGTACATGGGGTTAAAAAAAATGGTGAGTAAGGTCAGAGATTGCTAAGCACTTGGAATTATTTCAACTGACCACACAAAAAATAAGAGAAGGTATCATAAGGTGGATACAATTAGGAGTAATGGATCAGAAATAAACACAGGGAAATTTACACTGGGTATTGGAATCCATTTTTTCACAAGGTCAGTGGTTCCTATGGTTGTTCCTCTAAACAAAGCTGACCTTCTTTCTCCTGGTTGAGTAATTTAAGAACTAGACTAAGGGGAACATTTGGAAATAGGAGGTTAAGCAAGAAATCTTACTATCCAGGCATTGATCTGAATGATTTACTGCAGCATTTCCATTCCTGGGATTAGGCATTTACTCTTGCCAAAATGCTTTCCAGTTGTTTTATTAACGAAGACTTTCAAATGCCCCTTGGAGGTCAATAAGGATTTTATTTCCACTTTTTACATGAAGAATTTGAGGCATGGAGGTAGGGGGACTTGCCCAAGGTCATCCTGCAAGTTAACAGCTGGTATCTGGAAAGTCCTATTACTGCTAATCTCTTTTTTTTTTTTTTTTTTTTTTAAGATTTTATTGATTTATTCAACAGAGAGAGAGAGAGAGATCACAAGTAGGCAGAGAAGCAGGCAGAGAGAGAGGGGGAAGCCGGCTCCCTGCTGTGCAGAGAGCCCGATGTGGGGCTCGATCCCAGGACCCTGAGATCATGACCTGAGCCGAAGGTAGAGGCTTAACCCACTGAGCCACCCAGGCGCCCCTACTGCTAATCTCTTAAATCAAGCTTCTGTGCTAAGTCTGACTCCTCTGAACATTGGGTTGGCTTGGGGGGCAGTGGGGAGATAACAAGTGGATGACCCTTTAAGGCACTTAGAGTGTCCAGAAGCCTTCCCTGTGACTTACTGTGTTATTCTGAAATTTTGGATTGGCAAATGTAACACACCATGTCTTTGAGTAAATTCAGCTTCTTGAAAATAATGCCATTGAGTTAGGTCTGTTGGACCATTTGTTTGAGTGGTATGTTATGAATTGGTCTGAATTGGTATATTATGCCAAATGACTAATTCGATTGAAATTTGTCCTCTTTTGGAGGTTGTCACAGTTTTCTCTACAGGAGTGGTTCTCAAACTTCCGTGTGAGCTTGTTGAAACAAACTTGCAGGTAATGCTGGGGCAGCCGAGCCGGGGACCACACTTGGAGAACCACTGCATAGGGTAGTAGTCACACTTCAGGTTTCTAGATTTCCTCCATTTAAATAAAATGAATATCTGCAAATCATTACCCTCAGACCACAAAGCCCTTCTATAAGCCTGGCCAATCTGCTTGGGTTTCACCCTTCCATCTGCCCATTTGTAGAAAGGGGCACTGGGGCGGGGCGGGGGGGGAAGTGCTTGTAACAAATGATTATATTGCTTACTTCTCGCAGACTCTTAACTGTACTTCATTCTGACCATAAAGAACTTCCAAGTCTCTTGTGTTAAATAAAAACTGATGTAAAGGAGAAGGGAGGAAATAATGGGAAATGCTTACCTACGTATCATATTTCTTTAAAGGTGGTCATTTTTATTGGAAGAGAAGAGAGATTGTGGTAAATAGATTCAGGGTAGATGTGGGAAGAGATGTGTTTTCCATCATGACCTTATTCTAAAACTCTCTGCCTTTCCATTGAGACTGAAGTCCACCACATTACTCTATTCCTAACTACCTCCAGTCAAGGAAAATAGCAAGGGGAATTTTATTCTCTCACTGAGCCCCATAATGCCTAGTCCTCCCTCATTTCCCAAAGGGGTGATCAATTTCAGTTCATCGTTTTTCCAAGGGTCACCATCTGCAAGTATATTTCATGCTGTCTAATGCTACAGAAATATTCTCCAAGGTTTAGAATCTCCTCCTCTATCCAACCCTTTTAGGAACAAATGTTACATGGAAATGCCATCCTTCTAATCTACTTCCAGCCAATGCACATGTATAGGAAAGCTTCATCATTGGAAAGCCTGCTGTGTGTGATGGGGAAAAAATAATAAGTTGCTCTACAATGAGGCACACAATATGGCACGCTGCCTGGCACACACACGGAGCTGGGCCAGCATGTATGGAATGGATTTGACTGGACACTTACTGGGTGGTCGGCATCCAGCTCAGAACCGTACATGAGAACTCTGTGAGAGCATCTGTCTAATTCAGAGATCTTCCGGGGGAACCAGGGCACATCCTCTAGTTCTGTTGAAAACAGAGTGTGGGTTCAAAAATATTAGCTCACAGATTGTATTTTCCTTTTTGCAACATTTGTCAGATTGCTAAATCACCCGACAAGGAAAGGCTGGCCTTGCCTTCTTCCTCCGTCCAAATGTTCTCCGGCGGATTCAGCGTCACAATTGTAGTTTGAAATTTCAGCAACTGAATGAGCTCGTTGAATTCGGTTTTGCCACACTCGCAGTCCACGAAGATTTCAACCTCTGAACTTCTTCGCCGGGATTTCCTGGACTCAATATGAACCATGTTGACATGTTTTTCCTATAGAAATATAAGCAACATCTCTAAATTACCTTCACAGCACAATAAAAAGGACTCCAAGGGCTCTTCTCGTTCAGCTCTTAAGAACAGGTGCCAACTGCCCACAACGGAGAAAAAGACAATCTTCTTGTTCTTTGGTTACTAAGACAGGGAAATGTTTCCAACCAGTTCCTCTATTCATAGGAGTAGAGACTGTATGCAGGTTTTCCTGTCTCTTTTTTTTTAAGAGGGTATATAAAAGCATATAAAAGACCTATAAGATGTATTATAATTATGAGTATCATCATTTCCCTGCACAGTCCACATCCCACTAGGGAAGTGCATAGTTACATGGGGGGAATATTAGCTTATCGCATCATCGTATCATCCCCAAATTTATATTTTTATTTTCATATGTTTCCAAAAAACATAGCTAAAACTCGACACCCTGATTTAATAGTGGTTTCCACTACAATAATGTTTAAAAATAACCTTTGAAAAAATAAGTAAATAGTACAAATAGCAGGCAAATGAGGCAAACATCGGGCAGGTGGTCTGCAAAGGACTGATAGCTGGGAGACACAAGCCAAAGAAAAGGAAGAAAAGCAGCCAAGAAAGTATCTCTACAGGCAAAAACAAGAGCAAAAAAACCCACAAAACAACAAACAACAATCAAAAAACACACCTCAGTGGGACCATTCATTAACTGTTCTGTTTCAACAACAGACTAGCTTCATGCAAGGATACATCATTGCAACCATCACCCCCCAATGGGTTTCAGGGGTAAAAGTCTCCTTACACTAAGGCGTTTGGTGGGGGGGGGGGAGGGGAGAGCCAGCAATTTAATATTTAAACATTAGGTTTAAACCTTCCCCTGAGTTAACTGAAGACCAAGTTCTCATCTCCACCCTAACCCACCCCTGAATAAGCCCATATCTCTCCATCACACTGGCTGATATCCTGTGATTATCAATTCACATTCCTAATACAATCCTGGATGGTCTTGGAATTTTCAGCAGAGGAGCCGGAGAAGTAGATTCCAGGGCCAGAGTAACATCAAATCCAACAGGCTCCTCCTCTGGATAGAGAGAAACCAGCCCTGTGACCAGGAAACTAGATGCTCCATTTCTGTTTTTATTAACCTTTACAGTCACACTGTATTTTCTAAATTGGCTGATAATAAAGGTAAGACTAATATTAAGGTCAAGCGTCTTCACACCCATTGTGTCACTTTGGGTTTTTAATGTCCATCGGTTGAAGCAGAGTAGATATTTTTAGACAAGGGAATGATGTCCAGATGGGTTAAGTGGTTTAGCTAAGACCCCATGACTAGCTGATGGCCAAGAGAAAGCTCTGGGCTGCTAACTCCTTCTCCCGGGATTCCAGCCTGCCTTGGAGCACCGAGCAGAGACAGCACTGGATGATATAATTATGTTTAAAATATTTCCCCGGATTTCCATTACCACTGTTTATGGTGCCTGATCCTTTCTTCCAGGTCAAGAGAGAACAGGGAAATATTTGCCAAATCAGGCTGCTAATTCCCCCTCCCTGGTCATCAAAGAGACCTCACAATAGGGGCCTCATCTCTGTACACTTTACAAGGCACTTTCACTCATATTACTGCATCACAACTACCTTGTTAGGTGGGAATTATGATCGCTATTTTACAAATGAAGAAATGGAAGCTAGGAAGCAACTAGTGATTAGCCAAGCCAGGAGAACACAGCTCTGACTCCTGTGACTGCAATTCCAATCATCTTCCCGCTGCACCAGCTGCCCCAGGCACCTCGCAGAGCGAGGCTCCCTATCTGACAGCTCAAATCAGCACCCAGAGCCTCCAAACAAAATGCATTTGTAAGGGACGACGCTTGCTGTAGGGTAAGGTAGCCATCAGGTTCGCCCTGGCCAGGGGGCAACAGTTTTTCTGGGGTACTTTAACCTCACCCTCAACCGGGCTCTTTCTTCAGGGTTCAAGCCACCAAACTGGACCTGGAAAAAAGGCTCCTGCATTTCTATAAAATAAAGAGAGAGAGCTAACCCTGCCTTCTATAGGAGGAGACTCATCTCCACAAAGACATGTCTAGTTCATGTAACAGTGAGGCTATGGGAGTACCAAATGCCTCTACTCATGCATCTCGGTAGATGTAATAAATGAGCTCCCAGACGTGTGCACAATTCAGATGTTAACAAATCAAATCAGGCTGCAGTCTCTTGATATCTAAAGATACCCCCCTTGGCTCCTTTTGACAAACAAAAGGGGTAAGGCTCCCAGTTTTTAATTACTGACTTTCTTATCTGGCGATAGTCTGTGGAATTACTAGCAGGTTCCCTTGGAATTAATAAAACACAGTTGACACAAATCTGCTTATTTCACCCCTTGGGCAGACAAACTTCCCTTATAAAGCTTCATGAAATATGCTTTCTTTGGAACTTTGAACACATTATCCAGAAATGGTCTCAGTAACGTTTCACGGCAGAGGACAGGTTTCTCATCCGGCACCCGGTCACTTGTAAGGTTTGGTAATGATGTTTACATTCACCTGGAAGAGGTTCAGCACTTTGACCAATCCGCCAACTTCGTTTTTCAGTGAGAATACAACAGCCGTCTTGCCACCTTCGGGACTGGTTTCACTTTTGCTGTTTCCCTTGCTGCCTTTTTTATCATCTTTTTTGCCAGAGTTAGCTTTATTTAGCTTCAAGAAGGTAGAAACACACACACAACAAACATTGGTTAGATCCCAGAGTTCTCGTAACTAGATTTTCAGTCAAATAGTCCATTCATATGCTAGAAGCCTCAGTAATCATATAAACTCAAAGAGAGGTTGCCACATCACTCATAACTCTCGATCATAAATACCAGTCTAATTTACTCTGGGACACTATTTTCCAGTGTTCTAAGGTAGCCAGTGGTTGAAATTAAAGGGTGGGGGGATCAGATTTGCTTCACTTTATTTAATAGCAACAAAAATCTGACCATCATAAAGTCTCATATATGACTACTTCCTGTTTTACTTTCTAGGTTTGCTTTACAGCATGAAATTTGGTCTGTTAGCCTAGTTGCGTAATATGGAAACTCTATTAATTATTGAACATATTGTTCACAACAATGACTTTGGCTTCAATTGAATCTTAAAAACAAAATATTCACTTCATCCTGAAATATGTCAGGACACTCCCTGAAATTGACAACCCTCCTTTCTGCAATTAGATCCACATTGTCGTGACTCTATCTGCAGAAGTTCAACACCAGGGAGCGTATTCAATGAAGGCCATCTGTGTCAGCAGAGGATTCCTGAAAAGTGGCTGTTAATATCCAGCCCCAAATAGAAGAAAAAAGAGAGGGAAGGAAGGGAGGAAGGGGAAAAAGGAGAAAGAGAAGGGAGGGATGGAGTGGGGAAGGAAGGAGTGGGGGGGGGGGGAAGAAAAAGAGAAAAAGAAAACTAGCTAAGGAGCTAGAGTAAAATCTGAGAAACTGAAAAGGATTAACACTTCAGTAGCCACTCAAGTTACTATAATACAGAACTAAGTGATGACTGTTAGTCTTATTGGTTAAAAACAAAAAGGGCAGATTTCGGAAACTTGGATCACACTGTCAGAAATACCAAATAAAAAAGCTGGAAACTGCCTGGGTGGCTCAGTGGGTTAAGCCGCTGCCTTCGGCTCGGGTCATGATCCCAGGGTCCTGGGATCGAGCCCCGCATTGGGCTCTCTGCTCGGCAGAGAGCCTGCTTCCTCCTCTCTCTCCGCCTGCCTCTCTGCCTGCTTGTGATCTCTGTCTGTCAAATAAATAAATAAAATCTTTAAAAAAAAAAAAAAAAGACAAAGTTCAGGTGTACTTTTTTTGTGTTCTTTATATGCAAATAAAGACTTGAGCAAACAGAGAAGCTTCTCCCTGGCTAATAGTAGCACAGTGCAATCAGACCCAGTCTATCACTTCCTCATGAAACTGAGAAAAAGACATGTGATATGGGACACAGTGAACAGGGACTCACCACTGTCTTCCTCTGATGCCCCCACTGGCTTTATTTTCACATGTGTCACATTTTCCTATTGTCTCACTCACTAGATTTTTGTATCATGGAAATGAATATTTTATTAGTTATGACTTGAAGAAGACAATGCAGACATTGGCACTACGTTTGGTCATTAAAAGCTCAAATGTCTCCGCACTCCCAGCATCTGCCTTCTTCCCACCACATAACACACAGCTCTTCTATATTTAAGTAGAATTTTTTATATGAAAGGGTCATCTATTAACTATAACTCTGAGTTCTTTGTTTTCCTTCTAGCAGTTCATTATGACTTCAAAATTCCTCAGTGTACTATCTCATCCAAATATGCATGATGTTTAGATATTTAAAAAATCTATTTACATTTTTGGACTCATTTCTGCAAATTGATTTAAACAGTTCTACAAAACTTGCCCTGATTACTCTTCAACATTTTGAGCAATAATAATACACCAGTACAATATAACCTTCCGGCACATGTTTGGAACTATGATATTAAAATAGAATTTTCTGTGATACAGACTGAATTGTAATTGGTTTGGTAAACTCTGTTACAGCAATGAAAGAGCATTATTTTTCTTGACTAGGAATCTGAATTTTTTTGTTGTTCACTGTCTTTTTCATTAAATCCCATCACTATTCGCTCAAATTTTTCGTAGGATCTAAAGTCCTACAAAATGTTCACTTTTTTCCTGTTAATATTTAAATTAAAAAACTGCCTTAAATACTAAAACAAGTCATGTATTGCTGTCATTACTCTGGTAATTAAAATGAAAAATGGAGTAGTGAGGAAGGCAGGAAAACTTTTTAAAGGAACCAGTCTTTCTTTTATCCCAATAATCAGCACCTATAGACAAGATAAAAACATTACCTCTGTGTTTAAAGAACAGGCTTTGTAACTGGGAAAGGGTATAAGAGACACAATCATCTTGCAGGAACCATAGAAATCTATTTAATTTCTTCTCCCTGTTCCTACTCATAATAAGTGGACTTTCAAAATCCTACACACTTTTTTTGGTTGTAGATGTAAGACAATGGTTCATACAACCTCTTGCTCTTAGTGTTTAGGAACTCCTTTTACTTTCTACTTACAAACTTTGAGGAAAGGCAGTTTAGAACAAAGTGAACAGGACACCCACTTTACTTTATGGAGAGAGAAGGAAGACTGAGGCAGACGGGAGGGAGGCAGGGTATACAGACAGATGCTAGAGAAACAAGTTGAGGTGTGCGTGTGCTTACTCTACATCAGGTGTCCACGGGGCAAGGATAAGACAGTCGCTACCTTAAAAGGCACTCCTCTATAGTGCCAGCTACTCAGTACTCACTGTTAAGCTGCCAAGGAGCTGATGCTCTTCGGGTACCGCTGAATCCAGTGAAAACCCTCTCCTTGCCCAGTATTTACTGGAAAACATCATCATTGCCGGCTGCATGGATCCCGGTGTAATTTTCTTTCTCTCCAGCAGGGGGTACTAACGGGGCAGCAGCCGCGCCCGCGGAGACGGAGAGAGGAAGGGAGGGGAGGAATAGCAACAGGCTCCAGGCTCTGTCCAAAATCCTGGTGCTGAAGAAAGAGCAATGGGAATCGTCCTCTCCCCAGGCTCCTTTATATAAATGACTGGGAACTGATGGAAAGCTGATTAGAAAGAAATTCATTTCTGGCTGCCGATGGCCACGATCAGATTACAGACCTAAAGCCTGGGGTTATCTGTGCTTCTGGTGCAGTCTGTTTCATAGGTCGAATAGACGCTTGGGCGTGGGTGGTGAGAACAATACATAATGGGGTGTTAAACGTAAAACAAAACATCTGTCCCCTGATATTAGCTCTCATCTCTCAGACCTGCTACTGGCAAGCTAATCTCAGCCTTTAGGTGACTATGAGTTCAAAGGTTCTGTGCCTTCTTCCCAAAAGGAGGAAAATTAGAAAGATCAGCGTTACTGAATCCTTAAGCCATTTTGTTTTGAGTTAATCAGTGTTTTCTGCTCTGATGTGTTACGATTGGATGTGTGTGACGGCTTTCATAAAAGGCACTGCTTCCCAATCCTGTGATGCCGCTATGTGGTGATGTTCAGGCAATTGTACTGTAAAGGAAATGTAAGGCTTTGATTTAGCCACTGTATAGATATAGTTGAGACACTAACCTTAGAATCCTCCTCACTACGTGGAAGGAAAAGGAAACTAAATGCCTATATATCAGTCATTCCTTTGATATTATTGATGGTTACTGAATTTTTCCTCTCCACTCGTAACTAGATCAAACCCGACAATTTGAAATGCATAGATTAAGTGAAGTACTTACTACTCAAAACTTTAGTAAGTGATAAAAATCACCATGTCACAGGAAAATTTTACCAATCTCCCAAAAGATGGACGACTCTTGACCAAATGTGCTTGTTTGACTACAAAACTAAACAAAACCTGGGGCTGGCACTGCTTTTCTGTACAGAAAATAAGATGAAATTTTTTCAAAACCAAAATGGATGACTTAATGTTAACTGGATGTTAATTGTTTCTGGAATCTTGAGGGGACATAATTATAATTTGACCTAATTTTGGAAATATTATTTGGCAAGAATTTCCTCTAAAAATCAGCTCTGATGAACAATAGGGAGGTGAAGGTTGTTTTTTTTGGGGGGGGTGTTTAAATATTTTATTTTTAAGAAATCTCTACATCCAACTTGGGGCTCAAACTTACATCCCCAAGATCGAGAGTCACTTGCTCTATGGGCTGAGCCAGGCAGGTGCCTCCAGAAAGGTGAAGTTTAAATACACCGATTGCGGTTTAGAATATAGGATTTTAAGATTGTCCAGTGCTGTACTAAACAATTTAGTAAGGGGCACCTGGGTGGCTCAGTGGGCTACGCTTCTACCTTTGGCTCAGGTCATGATCTCAGGGTCCTGGGATGGAGCCCCACATCAGGCTCTCTGCTCAGCAGGGAGCCTGCTTCCCCTTCTCTCTGGCTGCTGCTTTGCCTACTTGTGATCTCTCTCTCTGTGTGTGTCAAATAAATAAATAAATCGAAAAAAAAATAAAAATAAAACATTTAGCAAAACCATGCTACTTCTTTCTATTAAAAAATAAAATAAATACATACATTGCTTGAAGTAATGATAATAACAATAACTAATATTACTGAGTGCTTAGTATTTGCCAATCTCTAAGAAAATTTTTTAGGTAAAAACATGATTGATCATCACAATAACACTTGCAAGACAGTAACTATTATTTTTATTTTATATAAAGAGACACTGAGGCATGAAGAATTTAGGTAACTTGCCAAAGCGTTCATGCAATTAAAAAAGCAGGAGTTAAAACTCAGGCAGTCTGGCTCCAAACTCCATGTTCTCAACTATTACATTCTACAGCCTCTTAAGTATTCCAAACAAGGAAACATAAGTAGGCTAAAGGGACCACACACAGATAATTTCAGCTAGAATAGGGTTTGGGATGATGTGTAATTCAACAAAATTTGTTAAGTGGTCATTTTGTGTTAGGCATTGAAACTGAGTCCTGGCAATGTAAAGATGAATGAGATACAGTGTCTCCCTTCAAGGAAATCACACAAAAGCTGCAAGAAGCACACATGCAAATAAACAAGTGAAACAAAATATATCGACTTATCTACAGAAGACATTAGAAACACAAGACACAAAGTGCTCAAGGCTACCTTACAAGAGTCAGGAGAGGCTTCTAGGAGGCATTGCCTGAGCTGAATATTTAAAGTGAGCTTGTTCTGGGTATTTACTCTAGAGAAATGAGCTTATATTCAAACAAAAACCTGTACACACGTTCATAAGGTCAAATACTGGAAACAGACCAAATGTCCTTCAGTGGGTGAATGGATACACAAACTGGGATATTCACAACATGTGATATACTAAGCAGTAAAAAGAACCAACTATTAACATATACAACCTAAATGAATCTCAAAGGCATTATGCCAAGTGAAAGAAGCCAGGCTTAAAAGGTCATGTACACTTATCGGACACTCTCAAAAAGATAAAACGATAGTGATGGAGAACTAACTGATCAGTAGTTGCCAGGGTTTGTGGGTGGGGGAAGGTGTGACTTCAAAGGGATAGCAAGAGGGTGTTTGAGGGGCAGTATTTTATATCCTGATTATGGTGGTGGTTACACTGATTTATCCATGTCAAAATTCACAGAACTGTACAACAAATTGATTTTACCATACAGTTATTTAAAAATAAAAATTTAAGGGCCGCCTGGCTCAGTAGTTAAGTATCTGCCTTCTGGTTCATGTCATGGTCCCAGATCCCAGGGTCCTGGGATTGAGCCCCTGCTTCAGGTTCCCTCCCCAGTGGAGAGCCTACTTCTCCCTCTCCCCCCGCCCCACCACTCATGCTTTCTCTCTCTTACTGTCTCTCTCTCTCTCAAATAAAGAAATAAAATCTTTTTAAAATTAAATAAATAAAATAAAAGTTTAAAAGCTTCCAAAAAAGTGTTTGTGTTTGTTAACCAAAATGGAAAGGGAGACAGAAAGAAGGCTACTCTAGGTAGAATATAAGAAAATATACAGAGAACTGTTGTTCAACAATGCTGGCATATGGGTTTGGGGCAAGGGTGCCCGGTGAGAAAGAAGGCTGAGGAGGAAAGCAGGATGAAATCCTGCTAAACCTGAATGGCTTTGTACTTTATCACCTTCTGCTGTGGTGAAAGAGAACAATTGGAAGGGGTTCATGCAAGTCAATAATATAACCTCATTGTTATTTGGAAAAGCAGTAGCTTGGAGGAGGACTACGAGACTGAAGGCATACACCACTTAGGACCTGAAATATGTAGCCAGGAGATGATGACCAGGATTAAGGCAATGGCATTAAGGATGCCATGAAAAAAACAAGAGGTGTCAAGGGGTAAGATCCATAGGACATCTCTACTTGGATGTGGGAGCAGGAAAAAAGATGCCAGAACAACTTTGAAGTTTCTGAGTTGTGGAACTGGGTAAATGATAGATGCCATACATTAAACTAGACCACACATAAATACTAGCAATTTAGGAGGAAATTCCTAAAAGTTAGATTTTATACAGATTGCATGTGAATGGCCAAGTGAAGATGTCCAATGTCCATATATGTCCACTTAGATATATGGGTAGATATATGGTAGAAATGAGACCTAAGCTGGATATAGAAGTTAAGGTATTGCCAAATAATTGAATTTATGTGAGTATAGCCTCACTCATGGAGAGTAGGTTGTCTGAGAAGAAGAATCCTGACCAAATGTAAGAAACAATTTAAAATAAGTCCAAAAAAGGAAAATTTAAAAAAAAAATAAAATAGTTCAGAGAGGTAGGGGAAAAAAGTCAAAAGAAGATAAGTTTCCAGAAGACAAATATAAAATTTGAAAGACAGGATAAAGACTGATTATTTGGAAATTTAAATGCTAGGATTTCAAAAATTATATTTGAAGAGGAAGCATTTATTATTTTTGTATTGGGACTATAGCCTATGAAAGTGAAACGTTAGTGGGATTTAGTCTAGGCAAAACAACCAGTTAGAGGGAGGAAAAATGATAAAAGCTGGAACTAGATGGTGGCAGTTATGAGTAGAAAAAGGAATGTCAAAATGAGAATCAACAAGGAGTTAGAGGCTCACTGAATATGACTCCAGAAAAAGAAGGCAAAGTCATATATAAGCAAAAGATTAAACTATCAAGCTCCCAAGGCTGGAAATAGTGGCATTTCCATTATTTCCAAAGAAGAAATAAGTTTTGGGATAAAAGAGGAATTTTAGGGACAGGGAATTTGAGTTGACTGCAGTACTGTACTATCAAGTGACTTTATTTTTTTTATTGATGCATTTTTTTAAATTTTCAGCTATTGTGACGAGTGTTGTGTCATGTATTTCTTTACTGTATTTTTATTTTTTAAATTTAATTTGATTTTATTTATATTCAACCAATTAACATACAGTATTTTTTAGTTTCAGAGGTAGAGTTCAGTGATTCATCAGCTGTATACAACACCCAGTGCTCATGACATCACATGCCTTCCTCCTTAATGCCCATCACCCAGTTACCCCATGCCCCAACCCCATATCAAGTAACTTTACATAGCGTACAATTATAAATGTGGGACTGGAGTTTAGGAAATAGATCATAGCTGGAAATAGAAAGTTTAAAGTAAATCAGTGAACATTAGCTGACAAATTAAAAAAAATAAAGAGGAAAGAAAGACTGAAACCCTTGTACACGGTTGGGGAAACTGTAAACTGGTACAGCAGCCATGGAAAGCACTATGGCAGTTCCCCAAAAAAGGTGAAAACAGAATCACCATATGATCTAGCAGCCCCACTTCTGGATGCGTGTACACACACACACACACACACACACACGCACATACACACATATTTGCCAAATAATTGAAAGCAGGGTCTCAAAGAGATAGTTGTATACCCATGTTCATAGAAGCATGA